GCGACGACGTTGTTACAACGGCCGCGACGACGTTGTCACAACGGCCGCGACGACGTTGTCACAACGGCCGCGACGACGTTGTCACAACGGCCGCGACGACGTTGTCACAACGGTGGCGACGACGTTGTTACAACGGCCGCGACGACGTTGTTACAACGGTGGCGACGACGTTGTTACAACGGTGGCGACGACGTTGTCACAACGGCGGCGACGACGTTGTCACAACGGATGCACCGTTCTCTTCCACGCAACTTTCGGCAAGAGCAGCGCGGAGGACTTCCGTCAATGGCGGCTACTGTGCAGCTAGTAATATTTACTGAGCACGCAACGCAATGACAATCTGGATAGAGATTTGACCACATTTCGAGATGCTGTACACAAACAGTGGGCATATCAATTTCATAGCAAGGACTGGAGCCTGAGCTGTTAGGACAGGCGGCCGAACGGCACAGATGGCTGTAGGAAGGGCGTTGCAATCTACAAAGATCCATGCCACCGGTGATGTCAATGAGACAGCAGTGCAAGCACCCCCCCCCCGTGAGAGAAAATTGGTCATGTCGATGCAGACATCACCGAACTACTACTGAGATCCCTTCAAGTTGACCTCTGATCCACACTAGAAGAAGGACTTTCTCACCCGCAACTGCCGCCGCTGGGAGGGAGTGACATTCCGGCGTCTTGAGACGCCTCCGCATTTCGACGGTTGTGACAAAACAAAAAAACGTACGGAAGCAACGGAACGTCATTGAGAAAACAAATTTATTCTGGGGTATCCCTCTCGTATGTTTTCACGGAAGCGGATGGATTTTGGGTGGGAAGGCATTGGGGCCACCGGTTTGGTCAGCGCGTCTCTCTTTTTTCTTACTGCAACACCCAGCGCTGCTGAATCGTCATTTCCTTTGTGTATACTGCGCGCGCAAAAATCGTGAATTTGCTGGTTTGCGAAGCCGGACGGTGGGGGTGGGGGGAGAAAATGCACACCTCGTCACATTTCCGCATTCTTCGATTGCTTGGGGGGGGGTGGATCAAAACCCCACGTGGAAAATGCGAACGCAATAGGAATTGCATTGCAGGAGCAGAGGGTACACGGAGGGGTTTTTTTTTGTGTTAAGGAGAATTCTCCGCCGTCGCATATCGCATTCGCACGGCCGGTACAGACGGCACAATGATGCCCATTACACCGACAAAGCCTACACTGCCTCTGCCGTACGACGCGACATCGGGCCCGAGTCGAAAGAGATTTCCTTCCCCCTCCTGCTGCTCAGTTGAATGAGCAGAAAGGTGGTGCACGTCGCACCTACTCAAAGCTCCGTAAGAGCCCGTGGTGGAAATTCCACATTCGTACGGCGAGGGAGAGCCTCTCTGTAGAAAACCCACCGCTAACTTGGCCACAGAGTGTTATATCGGACCCCCCCAGAGAAAAGATGGGCCGGGTCAACGCGAACCCCGGATTTCAACCCGCAATATTCCGCGTGCTGTAACCGCTGAACCGCTCGCTGATGTGTACATCTCGTGATATGACAGCACATTTGGAGGAAAAAAGTAAACGCACAAAATGTAACCTTTAAAAAAATTGGGAAGCAACCTACAACCTCTTGATTCTGTGCCCACATTCAAAGCGTACATGTGCTCTATCTCCGCAGACACAACAAGCGCATATATAATAACACAATGTTTAAGTTGGATAAAAAAAAAAAACAAACGCGAGACAAATCTGCGCGTAGATAGTTGTTCCAAGTCAAACGTAGACATATTCTGGAATCTTGGGATTAGCCGGACCGCGTTTCCACCACAAATTGGTGTAAAAACCGAGGCAACCTTGGCAGCAGTAGGAGCAGTCGGAGCAGTAGGAACGGCTGCGAGCTTAAGCCAATTAACCCCGCTGAGCCAGCCAGTCGGTTGTTTATGGTAATTCCCGGCACAAAGGACATTAGGGGGCTTTAGGAGACTTCAATGCACGCCGTTTCTAAGACTCAACTACCTGCTCAAAATTATGACTGCAGACAGCGACGTAATCTGGGAGTAATTGGACTTCTAATAGGGCGCACATCGTGTCAACGTCACATCGGTGGAGGGGCGCTGGAGTGGGGGGTGGGATGGGGGAGCAGGATGGGGGGCTAGAGTTGGGGTAGCGGGGTGGGGGGGGGGCGGGGGCTGGGGGAAGGTGGGGGGCATGGTGGTGCGGAGGTGGGGGTGTAGGGGGGTATGGGGGGCGGAGGGCAGTGTTGTACGTTATTCATGTACATTTTTTAATTTGTGTATTTTAAAGAACGTTTCCGGGAGAAATTTGCCCCCTACAAAATAAAATTGCAACGGTGCAAGGATTTACGCAGCGCGGGTAACCATGGTGAACGTCAAAACCTGGTTACAATCTTCGTCATCTTCCTCCTCGTCACCGCTGAAATTGAATGTCTTGGACGGCCTCACGTGTTTAACATATTTATATATACAAATAAAATAAATAAATATTGCGGGCCTGTTACGTATCGTGCACGCCACGCCAGCAAATGGGTGGCGGCGGTGGCATTGTGCAAAACGTACCGGGGGAAAAAAAATGTGATTTAACGGCAATGATCTTAATAATCGTCAACCGTATGTCTAGGGGCCAGGTGGAAGCTCAGCGGTTGAGCGAGCGGCTCTCAATCAGAACGTTTGCGAGTTCAAATCCTGGTTGGGGTTCGGACTCGGTGTATCGTGCCTTCAGGGTCGATAAAATAGGTACCACACTTCGTTGTGGGGAAGTCAACAGTAGTTGTCATGTGGAAAAAATCGCCCTCCCTCCCCCACCCCACCATAGAAAAATGGAATTTCCACCAATGGCTCAGGGCTCTAAACAAGAGATTCCCACCCCGAGCTCTCATTACTCTGATAGTGCATTGTCTTTGCGCTGTCCGCCTTTTGATGTCCTCTGGTCTAACACCGTTTGAGACGAGGCTCAAAAGAAAGCTGTCTCTGGTGTGGACCAATCAGTTTCAAGGACAATGCATCATATATTATCAGAGTATGTTTTTTGTTTGCATTCAGACCACAAGTATTGTGGTTAATGCAGACATGATTCATCGTAAAAAAGGTTTCAGTTTTGTTGCCAGAAAAAAGGGGAAAAAGCTATTCTTATATTTTGGTACTGGCAAAGGAGGTCCCATGATGGAAGAGATGACCACTGCCTTCATGCTCATTTGAGCAGGAAATCAGTTCTGGCTTGACTAAAACGCCTATTTTGGTGTAACGACTCATTACAATAAATACGCTTCAAATCAAGTTCAAATAAATTTCCATTTAATGCATTACAATATTTAAATATGAGATTTTGGTTCACGATTCGATTCAAGCGTGGATCCATATTTTAATATCACAGTGAACGTAGCGGCCTCTTGTGTCCGTAGGCGGGACAAGCCGACGCAACATTACACACCGTATTTGTGTGTCGATCATGGGGGTCGTATGCCCATACTTTACCAAAGCTGATCAGTGCAGGCTTGTCAAGAGGAGGTGGGGGGTGGGAGCCTTGAACTGGTTCACTTAATACTTCGCCACCGATGTTAGCCGGAGCAAGGAAACAAACTCGGGTCGCCGCATTCATAGCGTCCGGTGTGAACCACTGAGCCACTGCTACAGCCCGCAATGGAAATGCATGGCCTTTGTATAGAATCAGACACAAAGAAATGTTTAGACGGTGAGGATGGGAGTAGACCACGTTGAAAAGAAAGGGGGAAAAAGCATGGGGAAGAGAGAGCGAGCCTTGACAATTAACAAGCGGGCAAGCCAGTCAATACAGGAAGCCTCGTGTTTTGCCACGGGGTTCAATGTACACAAGAAACATGCTGACAACAACCACAACCGCCATTCGCCACTAAGTGGCGGTGACATCACCACGGCGATTGTGCCAGGCTATGTGCACTTTAAGGCCACGTGAATTGTGGAACGCCCGCTGACAGAAGGTCACGGGACAGACCCAGCAGGTGCCATGGGTTGACTGACTGAGACAACTGGCCGATGCACCACCTGTGCCCCTACTGTGGCAACTTGATGCGTTTTAGCCGCCTGGCACTCCGCTCGTTGCTGCAAGCGTTGCTACTCTGCCCTCCGCACGCTAACGCACGCGCACACACGCATTTATTAAACCTGAGCTTACGTGAATATATGGTACATGTGTACGTGAAGCACTAGCGTGTAGTATTTTTTTGTTATAAACCTTCGCTGTGGTTAAGTATCACAGCGATTCCTCTCGGGGCCGAGTCGCTTTTATCGAAGCAAGTGAGGTGTCCCTCTGACGGACAGACGTAACATTTGACCAGGCATTGCGATACCAGCCTACTGGCTTCCTTGAAAAAAAAAAAAAAGACTTGTGAGACGTAAAAAAAAACGCAGGAATAACCAACCCGTTACTTGGTATGGCGTGTGATGAAGACCGACCATGCTGATGATGATTTCGCTGGAGTCAAATCGCGGCACGGATTTCTCGCTCACAGGAGATTGCGACGTTCCGCACGATTCCTCATTCGCAAGAAAACGCCGTCCCCTGGGACCGCTCATCGCCGCACGAATAATACGATGCACCCTCCCCCTCTTGTCTCCACAGGAGCTGGCTTTCACGCAGTTTTTGGTGCGATTTAATAGTTTTTCAGTTTAAAGTCGTCACGTTTATTAAATGCGATTTTGTAGGGTACACTTAACTCCCTTTCAGACTGGTGGCAGGAACGCAGGCACGGAAAAAAAACGACTCGCCACGAGGCAAACCGTGCGCATTTGTAACCCCTTCCTCTCTCCCCGCCGCATCACGGCTACGCGGCCTCCGTAGCCCACGGCACGGCAAAGCCGTCGGCATCGGAAGGCAATGAGAGCACGCCACCCCCGAGCACCGTCTTCGCCTCCGTGCACACACCCGTACACGTTCCTCAAGAGACGCCTCTGAACCGCAGCTGGAGAGATCCCAAACCCCGCTGTGCCAGTCTCCCGGTGCTGCTGCCGCCGCCGCCGCCGCCGCTAGCTGCTGCAATGGTTAATCGTGGTGCGCGGGTTTTTTGCTCGCTCGCTACCTCGCTCGCTCACTCGCAGGCCGGCACGGCAAGCTTTGCGAGTGTGCGGTCCGCGCGAGAGGCACACTTTGACTGACGCTGCGGGGACAAGCCTCATTTCTTCACTGCGCGCAAAATCGCTACTGGTGGGCAAGCGGACATCGTCCCGGTTGGATTCTACTTTATTTTTTTTTAACAAACCTCATTCGTTACAAAGTTCACAGGTGAGTTAATTTATAACTACGATTTTCTGTGCGCGTTTTAGACACAATGTTCATTCATTCATTCGATCGTACTTCCGAGCAAGAAACCGCTGCCAGAGACGAGACGAGTTTTGCTGTACGCAGGTGTACGCGACGCCGTCCGAAAAATGCCACATCGATGAACTTGCCATCGCCTCGAGTACCAATTTCTTCGCTTCTCGTAATTCACGGCGACGTGACAAGTACATTTGATCACAGCTCGGCTATCGTGGTGCTTGACATTCCTCGCACGTCCCGACGGTTTATTACTTAACGGTCGAGCGGGGATCCCTCCCCCAACCCCCCGGGCTCGCCACTCCAAAACAAAAAAAGGCTACCGGAGGATTTGGTGAAGTTTCACAAAACGACACGAGCGATAACTCTCACGCCATGGCGCCGCTGCTGGCGGGGAAAAGCGTCGGGGACGCGCACGTAATCAAACGAAAAGCTCTCGGCGTCTCCGTCTCTCTTCCCCCTCGCGTCTCAAAGAAGAGCTTCGAGTGGCTGCGTTTAAGTTCGGCGCACTCTGCTCGGTGGACGATCGAATCTATCCCCCCCCCCCCCCGACCCACCCCCAAAAGACGTGTGGCGGAGCAATCTGCCCCGCGTGACTCACCGGCCGAGTTTTATCGCCTAAATTGGTTCTCTCGGTTTCGGCAAAATGCAACCGTCCGTGCCAATACCGTCGCTTCACAGGTGCGGCGGCGCCTTTTGTGTTGCCTCTCAAGTCAGCTCGTGCGTGCGTGCGTGCGTACGTGTGTGCGTGTGTGCGTGCGTGCGTGCGTGCGTGCGCACACCGGCACCTCATATCGCAGCTGCAATGACAACAGAAACACGTGCTGCCTCTCGGCAGCAGTAGCCTCGTGACCACTGATGTTTTACGTGCCGGTTCTATCCACCTCGATAATCCACTTTTGGAACGAGGGCGAGGGAACCCCCTCCCCCTACGCCGTGCCCTGGGGGTATATACGACCGTGCTTGACCACGCTGGTGCAGTGTTGGGAGGGGGGGGGGGCGGTTGATGAAGGTGGGAAGCATAGATGTGGCAGCCTAGAAGTACAGCACAACAATGGGTTTTGCCGCACTGCCCTCGCTCACAGCTGGCCACAAAGTGTCCCTGGCAGCTGCCTGCCCTACGGCAGCACGTGCTCTTCTGCGCGTGGGTCGTCGCCCCCCCCCCCCTATCCGAGCGCCGACCAAGCTCAACGTTTATTCCTGCTCGGCTTCCGAGATCTGACGAAATCGGGTGCATTGTGGGTATTGTGGTCAAAGGTAATGGCGTTCACTCAGGTGGACCCCCCCCCCATTGCCCCCACCACATAATACTGACAGCTAAAAGCGGGGGGGGGGGGGGGGGGGGGGGGGGGCTGGGAGCTGGCTGGATTTTTCAAGCAGCATTTATAAGTCTCTCTTAAGAGAAGAGGGTAAAAAACCACCCCCACCACCACAATTGAAGGTTAGCGTAATGTGGGGGGGGGGGGGGAACCCATTGTTAGCCGACGACAAACGATCGTCTCAAGGACCTCACCGTGGCGGCGGATGTTTCAACTGGCTAAAGAGGACGTCGTGGGCTGGGGGGGGGGGGGAGAGTGGAGTTTCGTTTTCTCTGTCAACCCCCGGCCAGCCGTTATCAATTTTCCATCGGTACTTGTTCCAGAGCTCTCAATTGATGTTGGCGGCAGTCGAGATTGAACGGAGACGCCAGCAAGTACCGGATAACGGCTTCCCCGAGTGACGGATTTAAATGCCCCTTAATGCCGCTCGCACGGGAAATCGTTTGAATTATCTTAACGAATGTACCCCAACCGGTCAGGAGTATTGCCTTAAGTTTTTTTTTTTAAATGAATACCCAATGCCTAACAGTTACATGGTAGCTCATCGTTAAAAGTAGCATGACAGAAACAACTGTTTAAATAAAGTTTAAACACAGCTAGATTTGTTTTTTGTAATTACAAATGCCTCCCTGTCTGGGTATAGGGATTATCGTAGATAATTTGGCTAATCATCGTTGGCATTGCAAGTGCTAAGTGGTCACAGATGTTACTTCCCAGTGCGTAACGCACTTTCATTTATTAAAGCATCAAACATCATCAATTGTGAATGATGTCTGCTTGTGTAGTACATCATTGTGAAAGCTAAGATAGATGCGATAACGTTACGTTACCTTCATCCAGCAGTGCATTGCCGAAAGGGCTGTACATGCAAATACAAAAACACCAACAACACCGATAAATAGTCGTGGTAAGACTTCAGTTTTTAAGTGATCAACTAATGCAAAATGTGTATGCTTATAATTATTACTATGATGATATTGAACTGCTGCTTAAGATGATGACGACGATGATGATGAAGACGATGATGGCAATGATGTTGAAGGGTCAGCATCTTCTGTATAAATACGAAAAGAAAACCCTAGACCTTTAATCTAGTGTAAATCATTGTCTGTATTAAACCTCCATTCGCTGCGCCCATTACATTCTTGTAAATGTGATTTATAGGTGCTATTATATCTTTAGTGTTAATATCTGCTCACTGCTTTCCTCAATCTCATTACGGCTGACCCTGCTAAGAACGTATGGTGGTCTGGAATATATCTTTGTATATTGTCATTGCTGCACAAAATTGAGCTCTATTTGAGACCGACAGGATATAGGGTTAACACAACAACACCTGCCATTCACTACTAAGTGGCGGTGGATGTCACCACGGCAATTGTGCCAGGCTATGTGCACTTTAAGGCCACGTCAAGTGTCAAATACCCGCTGGCAGGAGGTCACGGAACAGACCCAAGCAGGTGCCATGGGTTGACCGACTGAGATGACTGGCAGATGCACCCACCTGTGCCTCCTACTGTGCCAACTTGCTGTCTTCTAGCCGCCCGGCGCTCCGCTCGTTGTCGCGGGCATCGTGAGCATGCCCCACACGTACACACACAACAACCCATCGGGGCAACGGGAGCTGCGCAGATTAATGCATCGGAGTTGAACGCGTTCGGGCCTCGCACAAAAAAAACCTTGGACCAGTATCAACGTCGCCTAATATCATCATCAGCCGAGTGCTGCCACAAAATCAATGCCCCAAGAGCTACACAAGTTAGGTGTAAAAACGCACGTACAAAAACGCAAACACCCTTGAGCACACTGGCCAGACGATGCACACGGCGAGAAGAATGCCAAAATGTTGTTTGCACCGATGCAGGCTACTATTTTATTCAGCCACATTTTACGTCACATGTTTACATGTTTAAAAGACTGCAGGATAGCTTTGCAACGGGCTATTAAAATATGCAGACCACACCGCCCCCCCCCCCCCCGGCGTTTTCTCAATCCGTGTACATCGCTGCACGTTAAATCGACTGCGATGCGGAGAGCCTGCAGCACATTAGCGGCCGCTATGTATTTGCCTCAACGGTCAAAATTGAGGAAAAAAAACGAGTCGAGAAATGAATCTCCACTCTGAATGCACAACACTTACAACCGCACACGCTCTCGCGCCCGGAACACACGCGCATCCGAGACAACGCGCACACAGGCGGCCCGGTATGCGGCAAGTTTTAATACAGATACGCGCGAGTACTTTGTCAGCAATCTTGCCCATCAAAAAAACACTTGACCAATTTTAGGCAATCGTCTCCGTAAGCCTTGGAGCAATTGGTTTCACGACCCTATGAGCTTCCGTGAGAGCACGTGAAGCGTCCCGGGGGGAGGCATAATATTCCCCCAAGCATAGCGATAATAAGGAGCGTAACGACTCCCTTCGCAATGGCCAGTTTATTAACGTCTCACGACAGTCACAGGCTAAATGAACTGACGCGGGGTTGCGAGGACGGACGTAACAAAGAAGAAAAAGATCCCACCGTATAGCCTTAACAGACTGTTGGGGCAAGTGCTATTAGCGAGCACCTATGAAGGCCGGCACGGCCCAAGAGGGGGTGGGTGGCCAGCAACCACGCCCGGCCGCCTTTGTCTCCCCCAGTGGCGATGTTTACTACACACCGCACCCAGGTACTCATTTGAGGCTGAGTCGACCTAGGGGAGGCCCAGGACCGGTATCAGATAATCGTCACCGGTGTTGGTGGCCGTGAGCGGGAAACGAACTCAGGTCACCAGGCATCGGAGCGCGGCATGCTAACCGCTATGCTACCGGCTCCCCACACACGCACGCGCGCGCACGCACGCACGCACGCAAAGCCTGCGGTGATATTGGGGTTACGCCGAGCAGCACATCCTTATCACAATTGTGTTCAAATGACAAAATTACCCAACAACAGGGTCATTTCTTTCCTTTATTAAAGTCTCGGAGCCGCTATATAAACCCCACACACGCCACGAGGTCACCAGGTGGCTTGGGGGGTGTGGTGGGCGGCTCAAAATGGCCATGTCAAGAGAATTGAGTCAGAACCTTTTAAATCCTGGGTATGAATGCAGCCAAGCAGCTGCTGCTGCTGGGATTCTCAAAAAACTAAACGAGTTGATGTTTCTAAAACGGTTACCATGTGATCGCACAAAAATCTCTCCAAACAGATGTTTATTCCCCGAATGGCTTTACCCAGGATTGCGCAATTACGATATAATTGACTACGGAAAACAAAATACGTACGACGAACGGTCTATTTTTATGAAACAAGCAATAGGTCGGCGCATTTTTCCCGTGGTCCTGAGCCACTGGTGGAAATTTCACATTTACTTTGGCAGGAGCCGAAATTATCCAGTGAATGTTGACTTCTTCATCATGTGCCACCCGCTAATTGACCCTGGAGGCTATCCCAGACTGGGTTTTCCATTCACAACCTTTCAACTTGTTGTCAATTTAGAAGCACGGTGCCACGTAGGCCTAGAGTGAAAATACAATCAAGAGTGGGCAGCCTGTGCGATGTTCTGGATGATATGACACTCACATGACACTCCCCTGACCCATGGCAGACACCCACCACTCATCTGACACCCACCACTCACCTGACACCCATCAACTCACCAATTTAT